ACCAGAGCGAGGGGCGTGAGTGGTCGGAGGCGCGGGTGCACCCAAGACATATTTTATTTTTGGGGTGCCCCTTCGTGGGGCCTTCTTGGAGCCGTCTTGGGGGCCCTCTTGGGCCGCTCCGAGGGCCTTGGGAAGGGGCCAAGAGGGCCCCGAGAAGGCCCCATAGGGCCCCGAGAAATCCCAGAGGCCCTTAAGCGGGGCCCAAGAGGGCCCCAAGAGGGCCCCAAGAGGGCTCCAAGAGGGCCCCGACGAGGCCCATAAGAAGGCCTGACCAAATTAAGATATGGTCAGGCCCTTCTGGGGCCCGTTTGGGCCCCAAGATGGTTCCAAACATTGCCCCGCGAGGGCCCCCAAGACGGCCCCAAGGGGCTCCAAGAGGGCCCCAAGTCAGCTCTATCCAGAAGGGCCCGTGGATAGAGCTGGCTTGAAGCCCGTTGTGCCGCGCACTTCTGTTAGATATGTTCTGTGCCGCGGGACGCTGGGGCGCCGGTGGGTAGGGGGAGGGAGTCGCGGCCGCGCCCCAGGACAGCGCGCATGGTGGAGCACGCTGGCTTGGGGCCTCTTGATGCGTTCGTGGCGTGCCAAGTGTGCGGCGACGCCGATGAACGGGCTGGCGCTGGCGTGCGAGAGTGTGGGCTGTGCCTCTTGTCCATGCACCCCGCATGCGCCAACGACCACGCGGCGGCGCTGGAGACCACAGGTAGGCTGCCCCCCCGACCGTCTGATTGCGATGAGCTCTTCACGGGGATATTCGATGTCTTCGCCCACAACAACTGGGATCTGCTCTGTGGCATGTGTCGCGCGTGGATGATCGGCCGCGCGGAGATGCCCCCTGATTTGCATGAGTAAGTCGGCCATCCGTGTGGCCAGCGCTGGGCTGGTCCTCGCCAGGCGCCGCAACCTCGCCCGACCCGCTCTCCCCTCCCCCCTCGCCCCTACCGGCTCGCCCCGACTCAGCCCCCCCCCCCCCCCCTCCCCTCCCATTGCGCACGCCGCGCAAGAGGGAGGAGGAGGGGCGACACGCCGTGCGGGCCGTGGCAGGGGCAGCCGCGCAGGGGCGAGCCTGGGCGGGCACGAGGATTGTTTGGTGGTTTCGCTTCGGTTGGTGGACGGGCGGTCCTGGGGCCAGTCGGAGGGCCTCCAGAGGCCCGACGACGCCGCGAGCAGAAACGCAAGGCCACCACCACATGATCAGACTTGTGCACTAGGGATGCTCGGAGGCACGCTGCAAGAGGCAGATGGGGGAGGATGGGGTCGCGCCCGCCCCGGCCTGCGCTCGCAGGCGGTAGGCCTGCTCGTCGGCGAGTCGGGCGACTTCGGCGACTTCGTCACCTGGGCGCGGGCGTGGGGGCGCACGAGGCCGGCGCCGCCAGCCCGGCCATCCGGAGGGTCGTGGGGTCACGGCCGCCGTCGTCGTCGTCGTCGGCGTCAGGGCACGCCCGGGGGCGACTCAGGAACCCTCTTCCTGGATCCACGTCGCCCAGGGGACCCGCCTCCTGGGATCCATGGCCTACCTCATGCGATCCAGGACGCCCCTCCTGGGAGTTAGGACCCCTTTCCTGGGAGCCAGGGTGCCCATCATGCCACGCGCGTGGAGACCGAGCCACCGCCCTCCCCACCTCCCCCCCCCCCCCCCTGATCCAGGATCCGCCTCCTGGGATTCAGGACCCGCCTCCAGGGATCTATCTCCACGCTCCTGGGATCCAGGACCTCCCTCATGGGATTCGGGAGCTGCCTCCCGGGGGCGCTGGCATATCGCATTGGCCCAGGACGCACTTCGGGGATCCACGACCCCACCTCCTGTGATCCAGGACCTGCCTCCCGCGCGACCTCGGGGGCCCATCCCCCCCCCCTGGAATCCATGACCTGCCTCCTGATATCCAGCCCACCCCCAGCCAGGGAACCAGGACCCGCCTCCTGGGAGCGATGCCCGACCCCGTGGGATCCAGGAATCCCCTCCCCCCTCCCGCCCACCCCCTCCCCACCCGCTCCTGGGATCCAGGACCCGCCTCCTGGGGGCCAGGACCTGCTTCCTGGGACCCACGGCCTCCCATCTGGACTTCAGGAGCCACCTCCTGGGTCACATGACCCGCCTCCTGCGATCGAGGGCCACCCGCTTGCGATCCAGGACCTCCTTCCTATGACCCATGGCATCCCCTCCTGAGATCCAGGACGGGCCTCCTGGGAATCGGGATCCACCGCCTGGGACCATGCCTCGTCCCCTGGGATCCAGGACCTACCTCCTGCGATCGAGGACCCCGCTCCTGGGATCCAGGACCCCCCTCCCGGGATCCAGGACCTGCCCCCTTGATCCAGGAACTGCTTCATGTGCGCGAGGGCATTCATGGTGGGATCCAGGACCGCCTTCCTGGTACCCCCCCCCTCCACTCCTGGGACCCAGGACCCGCCTCCTGGGATTCGGGCATCACCTGCCGGGCTTCGGGAGCCACCTCCTGGGATCCATGCCCTGCTTCCCGCGATCGAGTATCCGCCACGTGGGTTCCAGGACGTCCCTCCTGATCCCAACACCGCCATCCGTCGATCCAGGATCCGCCTCCTGGCTCCTGCGCGCTCTCCTGGGCTCCAGCCCCCACACACCCCCCCCTCCCTCCTGGAATCCAGGACCCGCCTCCTGCTAGCCAGCCCGCCCCCTCCCGGGATCCAGGACCTGCCTCCTGGGAGCGATGCCCTGCCCCGTGGGATCGAGGACCTCCCTCCTGGCCCCCCACCCCCACTCCTGGGATCCAGGATCCACCTCCTGGGAGCCAGGATCTGATTCCTGGGGCCCGCAGCCATCCCTCTGGGATCCAGGATCCGCCTCCTGGGTTCCAGGACCCGCCTCCTGCGATCGAGGGTCATCCGCGCGTGCTCCAGGACCTCCTTCCTGGGAGCAATGCCCCCTCCCTTTGGGATACAGGACGTGCCTCCTCGGATTCGGGATCCACCTCCTGGGACCGTGCCTCGTCGCCTGGGATCCAGGACCTGCCTCCTGCGATCGAGGACCCCGCTCCTGGGATCCAGGACCCCCCTCCCGGGATCCAGGACCTGCCTCTTGCGGGCCAGGACCTCCCTCCTGGGATCCATGCCATCCCTCCTGCGATCCAGGATGCGCCTCCTGAGTGCTAGGATGCGAATCACAGCTCACGCGTCGTAGCCATGCAGCACGCGGCGTCCACCTCCTAGGGTTCCAGGACGCGCCGCGCCTCACGCCATATGATTCACATGCTGTGCATGCACCGTTCGGACCTTTGTGATCACGTACGACACGCCCGTGCACATCGCATTCACATCGATCGCACGCCGCGCCACCGCGCGCACACACCCGCTATCACATCATTGCACACGCGCCGCATTCAAGCCACGGTGCGGTCCAGGCCACCACCTCACGTGCCACAACAGCATGTGCGCGCATGTCCGTAGCCATTTGGGCTTAAGCAGTGCGTGTTCCGTATCACATACAGTTGCCCGTGATCGCCTGTGCTGTGTCGATGCCGCCCGCGCGGCCGCCCGCGCGGCGCCAGCGCGAACCACCTGCGCCGACCGGCTCCAGGGACGTGCGCGGGCTGCTCCGCCGCGCGACGCCGTCGGGGTCACCTGTGCCGGGCGCCGCGGGCGCCACGTCACCAGCGCGGAAGCGTAGCCGGCCGACTGGGCCGCCAGCCCGGGCCCCGCCCGTGACGCAGCCGGGCCCGGGCGCGCCGCCGGTGCAGCCGGCCGCGCACCCGCCCGCCGCCGCGACGCCCAGCGTTGATGAGCTGGAGCCGCCACCGCTGCCGGCGGCGACCGCTGTGGCATCCGAGCCCGAGCCCACTGCCAGTGCCCAGGCTCGCAGCGACGCTGCGGCGCCATTGCCCGCTGGGAATGGCGCTGCAACCACCGCTGCGGTGGCACCGCCGTCCGCTGCCTTGGCCGAGCCCCTCGCTGCTGAGCCAGCGCCCCCTGCGCCGGTGCCAGGGACCCCGTCCACAACGCCGCCTGGTGACATCGACGCTGCGACGGCGACAGAGCTGGCGCCACCGTGCGCGGGCCCGCCCGACGGCCTTGCTGCGACGACGCCTGCTGCGAGCCCAGCCCCAGCTCCGGAGACGGAGCCAGCGCCGCCGCCCGCAGCCCCGCCCGATGCCGGCGATGCGGTGTCGGCGGCGACGCCTGCTGAGAACGCAGCACCAGCTCAGGCGACGGATGCCCCGCCAGGCGACAGCGAGGGTGCGACGACGGGTGCGCCAGGGGAGACTGCAACTCCGACGACGGAACACTCGCTGCCGCTCGCAGCCCCGCCTGATGGCGCGGATGCCGCGACGGCGGCGGCGCCGACTGAGAATGCCACCTCCGCCCCGGCCGCGGAGCCTGTGCCACCGCTCGCACCGCCGCCCCGCAGCGTCGATGCTGCGACGGCGCCCGTGGGGAGCGTAGACCCAGCCCCTCCGGGTGACCGCGATGCTGCGACGGAGACGCCGCCTGCTGAGGAGAGCACAGCCCCAGCCCCGACGATTGCACCGCCGCCCGCTGCGACGGCGACTGCGCCTGAGGAGAGCGCAGACCCAGCCCCAACGACGGAGGCTGCGCCATCACTCCTTGACGATGCTGCGACGACGACGGCACCTGGGGAGAGTGCAGCCCCCACCCCAACGACGGAGCGCTTGCCACCGGCCCCGCCCGGCGACGCCGTGACGGCGACGGCGCCTGAGGAGAGCGCAGCCTCAGCCCTGACGACGGATCCTGTGCCGCCACGTGTATCCCCGCCGCCCGACAGCTTCGATGCTGCGATGGCGCCCGCGGGGAGGGAATACCCCGCCCCGGCGCCTGAGCATGCGCCGCAGCCCGCAGCCCCGCCCGCAGACGGCGCAGCAGCCCCAGGGTCCACAGCCCCTGCGACGGATCAGACGCCGCCGCCCGCGGCCCCGCCCGGCGACCTCGACGTGGCGACGGTGCCCGCTGCGAGCGCCGCCTCAGCCCCGGCGATGGAGCAAGCTGAGGAAGCGCCGCCGTCCTCGGCCCAGCCTGACAGCGTCGCTGCGGCGGCAGCGCCCGCGGAGAGCGCAGCAGCCCTAGTCCTGGTGGCAGAGCCTGCGCCGCCGACCGCGGGGACCGCGACCCCGCTCGGCGACGGGCTCGACGCGGCAATGGTCGTGGACCAGCTTGGTGCGGCACTCGGCCTCCTGGAGTGCGCATCGCCGTCGCCCTCGCGGGCGGGCGCCCGCAGCCGCAGCCGCAGCCGCAGCCCGCGCGGGGCGCCGCTCGCCCTGCCCCTGCAAGTGACGGCCGAGGACCTTAGGCTCTGGCGGGCTGCCTGGGCCAATCACTGCGCCCACGGCTGCTCCTCCGACGAGGCCAGCAAGCGGGCCTGCTGGATTGGCTGGGCGCGGGCGCATCAGTGGCGCGGGGAAGCGTGCCCCGGCGATTGGGAGGACCCCCCAATGCCCGAGGACGCGGCCGTGCAGGAGCTCAGCGACGCGGGCGAGCCGCACGAGACTGCGGCGCCGCAGCTTCGCCGCAGCGGCGCCAACAGCTGCCTCGCGCTAAGCGAGACCAGCGAGACTGAAGGAGCTCCGATTGGGCTCTTGGACGCAGCGGCTGAGCTCCGCGCGGCGTTCGGGATCGAGGAGCCCGATCCGCCCGAGTTCGGGCACGAGGCAGCTGATGCCGACGATGCCGATGCGGCTCTGTGGCGCGGCGTGTGGGGCGAGGCTGAGCAGGAAGCAGCTGATGCAGACGCAGACGCCGCCGTCGCCACGAGCGATGACCCACATGGCGCCGCGACGGGCGGCACATCGGAGTCGCAGGCAAGCAGCTTGCCCTTGGGGTCATACGTGGCAACGCCGGTGGATCTGGTCCGAGCGCGGTCCCCGTCGCCGCCCCCCGCCCCCGTGCCACGGGCAGCATTGCCGAGTCTGGGGGAGTGGTCGAAGCCAGTCGTCAGGAACACCAAGGATATTTTCAGCTGGGCTCACGACGGCCTTCGCGCGCTGGCTGCCACGCATGGCACATCGCTGCTATACGACGTCAAGCGGGCCATCCACGACGCGACCTACACGACGGCTTTCACCGGCATAGACGCGCCGGGGACGGCAGGAGCTGTGCTCGCGGCAAGTCTGGAGGATATCCTGGGCGAGCCCGTTCGCCCCATGCGCCACCTGTGCTCCATTGAGATCGCGCCAGAGGCGAACAAGGAGCTCGCCCACCTGCCGCACAGCCTCCCGGAGCACATGTTCACCGACATCATGGACTTCTGGCAGCCTGAGATGAAGGCCAGCATCACGAAGCTGCTTGCTAGCGAACACGGCGTCACGCTGAAGGACCTGGTGGCGATCGTGAAGGAAGCGAGGCACCCGCAGTCGTCCTCGCGGCCCGTGCGGACGTTCGCGCGTTGCGCCCGGTGCCGGGGCTGGTGCTCTCACCCGACGGGCAAGGTGCATTGGGCGGGGACTCCGTGCCCAGATTGGGCCCCCATTGGCACCAACGAGGGGGCGGATGGCCAGAGTTCGTGCCTGTTGGCAATCTGGGCGGCCCTTCGCCTCGTGCTGCAGGAAGTAGTGGTGCTGCACGAAAACTCACATCGCTTTGATGTGGAGATTCTTCGGCAGTTGCTGGGCAAGACCTACATCATCTTCAGCCACGTCGTGGAGCCGCCCGAGTTCGGCTGGCCAGTCCGACGCCAGCGTCGTTTCACGCTCCTCCTGCACAAGACCTTCGTCATGGAGGTGCCGTCTTCTGTTTTTGAATCGACCGATTGGGCTCGGCCCACGTAGATCGGACCTCCTCCCCGATCAGATCCCGATTAGGCTCAGACGATCGACGATCGACGACCGATGCCGACTCGATGCCGAGATTGCGGCATGCGCCTAGGCTCGCAGCACCTTGGCCAACACGATCCCCCTCTTCTATCGGACCCTTCGGTGCACGCTGGATCAGTTCTGCATCGCCGATGCTGCCGAGCTCAAGGCGGAGCTGGAGTGGGCCCGCAATCGGCCTTTGAGTCGTGCTCGCGGCGTGCCGGTGACAGACGCGGACCTCATCCCTTCAAGCCGAGCGTTTCTGGACAGCCTCACCACGTGGGAGCTGGAGAACCTCCGAGAGTACCAGAGGGGCTCGCCGACGCCGTTCGTGTGCCACAACTTGAGTCAGGACGCGAAGAAAGACAGGGGTTGGTCAAGCACTGAGTGCTTCCTCAGCGCGGTGATTCGCAATCCGCAGGTGATCTGGTACGATGCGATCCAGCGCTGGCTCACGCCGTTCGAGCTCGGGGCTGCGCAGGGCTTCCCCGTGAGGGAGGATCTTGCCACGCCGCGCGGGCCCAGCCGGGCCCTGAGCTCGTTTAATCGGGCGCGCCCGCGCCAGCGAGCCCAGGTCATGCAGCAATTCGGGAACAGCATGAATCTTCATGTGTGCGGGGTGCATTGGCTCTACGTCCTAGCTGAGGTGAAGAGGGCTGATCAGGACCCACTGCTGCGTTTTGTTTAGTTTCTGGTCGACGCTGTCCGACGGTGTCCCGCGGGTGTACAGCCGCAGGCGCCAGTGGATATCGTGATCACGCATGCTGCTGCGTGCGCTGCGTGCGATGCGTGTGCGCGATGCAGGGGGGGGGAAGGGGGTGCACGCGTGATACAAATGCGCTCATCCGAACGTGCGTGCACGCGCGCGTATCTGCCTCTGGCTGCTCTCTGATAGCGTGCTCTCTTATGCCTCAGTCTGCCTCAGTCTGCGCGCGGTGCGTGCAAGACGCGCCGCACGGCGACTGGGGGAGTCTTCTCGATCGGCCTAGCGGCCGCACACGACTGCAAAAGGTCGGACCCGTGCCCTCCATTGCTCCTCGACTTGCGTTCCGCCCTCCCTCTCCTCTTCTTGTCCTCCCCTTTCCCTTTATCCTATCCTGCTCGCGGTGTCTGCGCCTCTCGCCCCGAGGAGGAGGAGGGGGAGATGCTGGGGAGAGGAGGGGGCATGACCGACAGCGACGCTCGTGGACTAGGATGGGGAAGACCTGAGGACGAGGAGGAGATTGGAGGCGAGAGGATGTGAGCGAGGAGATGATCAGGATCAGGATGGCGAGGCGCACCGCGGGGGGGTCCCCATCCGCCGCCGCCGCCAGGACGTCGTGCTCGCCAACGGCCTGGGCGTGGCGCCGGCGAGCGAGGATGCGGCCGCGATGGGGCCCGGGGACAGCCCCGCGCCGCCACCGCCCACGCGCGGTGCGCCCGCTCGCGGGGAGGTGCCTGGGAGGGGAGGTGGAGGATGAGAGGAGCTAAGAAGGTATTCGGCAGGGCAGTGGGCTGTACTCCAGAGGGGCCAGCTCAGGAGCTCGATCTTTTTTCTCCACCCGACAAGGGTTGATAGATTTCTTAGAACAGGCCCCCCGGCCACACCCCCACCCTGCATACCGCGGCCGCCAGACCCCAAGTTGTCCCGAGAATCCCCGAATGTCCCGAGAATCCCACCTCACCCGCCTGCATACCGCGGCCGCCAGACCCCAAGTTAGAACACCGACACCACATGACAGAACAGAACATGACAGGACAGAACAGAGCATGACATTACATGACAGAACCGCGCATTCACAGAACAGCACAACAGAACACACAGCACAGGAGGATGGTGGGGATCGTTCGAAACAAACTAATTCTGTCCGTCGGTCGAAGGACCCTGGGAACCCCCGAAAAGTTCATCGTGTTGTTGCGATGCGAAGTCTTTGTCTTCGAAACCGAGCTCGCACGGCGAATGCAGGACCCCTTACAGCTAAAGCCAACGCATGTGCGAGAAGCAACTGCTGCAAGCCCTGATTGGGGATCGGCTCGCACGCATCCATCTCATCCATCTCCTCGCCTCATGGGCTCCTCCTCAGTCCGCTTCGTTTTGCCATAACTGCGATCGCCGATCGCTCGTCGCCTCATCGCTACCAGCTGTTTGTGGCTTCAACTTCGACATTGCAAGTGAGCGCCTCTCATCTTCTGGTCCGACACCGACCTACAGCACCGCGGACTCGCCTGTGCCGGGCGCCGCCATGTCCTCTTCGGATTCGGAGTCGCCTGCCCTGCCGCACCCCACTTCGAGGAAGCGAGCCGCGCGGGCAACGGGCATCGACTGGGTCGACGTCTCGAGCGGCCCCCACCCGTCTGCCACGGGCGCGCTGGGCCATCGGCCGAAGCGCGCGCGGGGGCAGGATCGGCAGGAGCCGCCGCAGCCGAAGGGCGCCAAGTCGGGGAAGCAACGTAAGGTCGCCAAGAAGGAGCAGCAAGCCGCTCGGCGCCGCAGGAAGTCCTCCAATCACACCACCGACGACGACGAGTCCGAGTCGGCCGCGGGCGTGTCGGAGGTCGGCGATACCCAGAGGTCTGCCTTCCTCATCCTTCCCCCCTCCTTCTCCTTCCCCCCTCCTTCTCCTTCTCCTCCCCCTCTCCCTCCGCCTCATGTCTGATTCCGACGTGGGCTCCGACGCCGGCGCGGGCCCCAGCGCGGCGGCCAAGAAGTCGAAGAAGGTCTCTAGGGATGACAAGTTCCGCCCGATGGGCACTATCAATGAGCGGTATCCAGGTCTGCAGGGCGCAGCATTGCTGGACCAGGTGCTGGACGACTTCGCCGTTCCAGGCTATAGGAACATCAATGGCGTGAAATTCTTCACCGAGGGCGGCCAGAAAACGATGGAGCCGCATCCGCTCAACAAGAGGCGCCAGGACAGCGTCGTCAGGGATTACGCCGATGGCGTCAAAATCGACGGCGCCGTCCAGGGGGTGCGCGGCGAGCCCTGGGCTCTCTTTTCGCCCGGCGGGAAACTCCCGTACTTGATGGTAACCTACAACACTCTGAGCCAGGCCGTCTACAAAGCAGCTGAGGAAGACCCGAAAAATCACATGGTGAAGCACACCCTTAAGAAGGGGCTTTCAAACATGACGGTTTTCTACGCTGACACGCCGCCCGACGTGATCAACTGGCTTCGCGACTTTCACAATAACTTTCATGGGGGGTCGGCCTTTACGCTGCTACAGTACTTCGAGGCTGTGCGCACCTACATCGCCGAGCACAAGGCTGCCAAGGCGATCATGGGGACCGACCTGAACGTGTACGAGTGGCTCTGCGAGAATTACGAGGAGCGGGACAGGCGGGTGAAGAGTCACAACGAGCTGATCTCGGCCCAGGACATCGGGCCAAGCGCGCCCATCCCTCGAATGTTTTCGGGGCCCTTGGGGGCCCTTGCGGGCCCCGCGATTGATTGCGGATGGAGGACGGATGAGAGGACAGGTGAGGAGGAGTATCTCAGTATCTCGAGGGGTCGACGGCCTTCGCAAGGAAGGCCGTTTGGATCTCAAGGCCTGGTCCGAGAGGAGGAGGAGGAATCCCTGAGGAGGAAGAGGAGGATGAGGAGGAGGAGGAGGAAGGCGTCCTTCCTTCTTTGAGGGCGTCGTCTCAGCCCAGGCTCTCCTGAACGCCCTCAAGCGCTGGGGCGTCAGGGACCAGACCTTTGAGTTCCTCGGCCGCCGCGGCAAATTCCACGACAAGCGGATGGACAACGCTATGGCGGTGTTCAACCTTCACCACCTTTCGGTGTCAATTTTCCACGAGGGCGTGCGCGCCGTCATCGATATCGAGATCCTGAAGGCCGTCTGGTTCATCGTCCTCCCGATGTGCGTGCCGGTGACCCCGCCCGAGGATGGGTCCAGGGCGCCCGTCTTCATCTTCGACAAGATCAAGCTCGATATGTGCAAGTGGCTGACCACTCCAATGGGGGAGAGCGTCGTGGTGCGGCGCGGCATCGAGGCTGCGAAGAAGGCAGCGGAGAAGGAGGCCGAGAGAGTGGCGGCGGCGGAGCGGGCAGCGGCGGCCGCGACGACGACGCCGCCGGCCGTCACAACTGGCACTGGCGCTGCCCCCGTGCCGCAGCCCAAGCTGGCGGTGCCGAGGCCGGTGCCGAAGGCCAAGCCGAAGCCGAGGGCAAAGCCCAAGTCCGACTTCGACCCGGACAACATGGACCAGCACAAGGTGTGGCTCTTGGATGCGATTTCTTGCATCATGTCGGCCATGTCGGACTGCCCTTTGTCCGATAAGGACCAGATGGATATCTTCAAGCAGTTGATGCCGCCCGCCGCCGAGTTCTGCTTCGAGACGAAGGTGCGCCTGGGCAAGACAGTGTACGAGAAGTGGTCGGAGTTGCGGCCCAAGCTCAGGGACATCGCCGCCGCGACCGCCCTGAGCCGCGTGGGTGCCCTCGGCGACGACGGCGATCCCAACAAGGCCGAGCAATCGGTTGGGGACGCCCTCAGGACCACTTTGGCCAATCTCGCGGGCGGAGCAGGAAGCAGCGAAGACATCAAGGCTTCGGAGCAGACGGTCCTCTTGGCGAAGCTTGACACCGCCTCGGTCGAAGTTGGCGCCCGGCTATCGACCTTCCTGAAGGAGAACGCTCTCGGGCGGAGCGCCAAGCGGCACCCAGCGTTTCGGGCGTTGCTCGGTGCGCTTTACGACGAGCTCGGGGACAACAGCGGCAAGGAGGGGCGCGCGATGTTAGATGCAGCCTTCCGCCAAGAGAGCGACCAATCCGCCCTGTCTGAGTTCTTGAGGCGCATGCTCGAACTCGTGCGCGAGAAACTCCAGGCGGTCATCGCGCCAGAGATGCTGAAGTTTTGCCAGTACTCCGCAAAGTACCTCAAGCTGACGTCTCAGCTGCCTGGATGCACCATGCGTTTCTTCGCGACGGCCGGCGACCTCCTATCGTTCATGAAGCTGCGGTCGATGTACACCATGCTGGCCTTCGACGACATCTTGACGGAGCAGGAACTGTTCATCGAGCTCGGCAAGAACCCTACCAAGGTCGACCTGACCAAGCTGCGCTCGCACGTGCCCGATCTCCGCCACATGCAGGACTTGGATGGGCATCTCTCGTACTCCCAGTGGGTGCAGGCGAACCAGGCATTCCTGGTGGGCAGGTACAACGGCGATGACAGTGACGACCTCGTCGCGAAGATCACGACACCGCACGGACTGGCGAAGCCGCAGCAGCAGCCCTCGCCGGCGTCCACGGAGTCAGCGGCGGCATCCCCGGCAGCCCCGCTGGCGCTGGCCGACGCTGCGGCGGCGGCGGATGAGGCGCCAGCCCAGGCGCCGGAGGCGACCGCCGATGCTGCGGCGGCTGCGTTCGCGGGGCGGGCCATGGCTTTGCAGGACGTCTACCGGCTCACGGGCGTGCAAGCGTCCTCCTCCTCTTCAAATCCTCCACCCCATCCACCCATCCTCTCCCTCCTCAGGGGAGGGGGGGGAGAGAGAGAGAGAGAGAGAGAGAGAGAGAGAGAGAGAGAGAGAGAGAGAGAGAGAGAGAGAGAGAGAGAGAGAGAGAGAGAGAGAGAGAGAGCGATGGAGGATGAGGGATACAAAGACTCTATATAGATGGAGCGGGGGATGAGCGAGTGAAGTAAGGGGATATATTAAAAAATATA